TTGGAATTGCCTTGTAGATCTGACATATTGTTAATAATACTATATTTATTAGCTCTAATAAATATATTTTATTTTTCTTTGTCACATGGTTCCTTATTCTAGACATACAGTATGCTTCGAAATTCCAGATGCTAAGCACAGCTTTCTAGACATCACACAAGGACTATTTTAGTTAGAAATATGGCTAACGTCTATGCTGCCCAGCAAGGCCTTCTTTTCATTAGGTGGGCCAATTACAGACATGTGAAAAAAGATGCCCGATTCAACAAACCACTAAAGCAACTGTAAACATTTTACATGTAACATGTGCCTGGAAGTCAGCCTTTGGGCGGGAGAGTTAGAGTCAGACAAGCTCATCTAGGTGATTGTCAGTGTTGGTGCTGGGCCTTATTTCTCCCTGCCCCTGCCTCTTATAGAAACACACAAGGATACACACACACTCACATACTTGATCCCTCTTGATATGATTCATGTTAATAAAGCAAACCCAACTAATCAATACTTTTAGCTGTCTTTCCAGTACTTCCTGACTAAAGTTCACAATGGATTAGAAATGGGTGTGATATAAAACCGTGTCACTAAGAAGCTTCCTACTTAGAAAATACTTGTGACTTTTCTATAACTTTCAAATGTTAAAAATGAACCTGTAAACCAAAACAAGATACTACTTCAGATCCACTAGAATGGCTATAATAAAAAAGATGGACAATAACGAATGTTGGCAAGGATGTGGAGCAAACTGGATCCCTCATACACTGCTGGTGGGAATGTAAAATGGTGCCGTTGCCTTAGGAAACACTCTGATAATTCCTGGAAAGGTTGAAGAGAGTTATCATGTGATTCAGCAATTCCCCTCCTAGATATGTAACGAAGAGAACTGAAAACACATCTACAAAAAACGTGCACACAAGAGCTCACAGCAGCATTATGGACAATAGCCCAAAAGGGTAAACAACCCAAAAGTCACCAAACTGATGAATGGATCACCAAAGTGTGGTACATGCACATGGAATATTATCCAGCAACAAAAAAGAAATGAAGCAACTGATACATGACATATGGGGGGCATATCAATGGCAAGAATAAACCTTGAAAACATTATGTTCAGTGAAAGAAGCCGGACACAAAAGGCCACAAAGTGTAAGATTTCATTGATATAAAATGTCCAGTGTAGGCATAGCTATAGGGGCAGAAAGCAGAGCAGTGGTGTCCTGAGTTGAGGGAGGGTACCGAGGGTGGCTGCTGATGGGTATGTTGTTTCTTTCAGGGGTGATAAAAACGTCTTGGAATTAGAGTGGTGATAGTCATAGAATGTTGTGAATCATTCAAAACCCTTGACTTGTTCACTTTAACAGGGTGGATTTGATGGTATGTGAATTACATCTCAATTTAAAAAATGAACCCGTGTGAGATATATGTAATAAAATTAAAACATTATAGAAATACATAGAAATGAAACTTTCCCCTATACTCCTTCTCCCCAACTTTGCCTCCCATTTTCAGTCAAACTAAGACTTTGTTATGCAAAGTGTTACTTTTGTTACTTCTTATGACCTATTCATTTTTTCATCATTGGAAGAAAAAAAAATTTCCAAGCTGACTTTTTATGTAAATAGCAAACCCAGAAGTCATAAAGAAAAGAATGGATAACAACTACATAAAACTTAAAATTTTCTATATAGAAGAAGATACCATAAGTTAAAAAACCCCTGGAAAAATATAGAAAACATTTATCAGAAAGGGTTAATATTCCTATATTAAGGATTCTGTACACTGATTGAAAGACAACACGAAAGAAAAAGGGACAAAGATGTCAACCTCATTAGCAGTCATCCTTTTTTTGCCCATCACATTGGCAAAAATTAAAAGGATGGATCACTCCTACTGGCAAGAACAGGAGGAAACTGCTGAAGGATATGGGAATTGCTACAGCCTTTGGGGAGAGTAGTTAGGCAGTATTTAATGAATGAGCATAACCTTTAACCCACTTAAGGAACTCTAACCCATAAAAATAAAAGCACCACTACTAAATATCTTCACAAAAATATTTATTGCAGCGTTTATAAGAGGGGGAAAATTTGAAACAACTGGAATGGCTGCTGAGAGATGACAGATGAGTAAATTGTGGTTTATGGGACTGATGGATGTTAAAGAAGCCCCATGTGATGGACCTAGAGGCATGTACACAGGAGACAGCTGTGTGGAAAAGCAAGTCACTGAGTAATTACTCTGTAAGTGCCATGAAAATAAAACCTAAGCCTCTAGAGATGTGGACATGTTGTTGTAGGCACAGAGAATTTGGTGGGCCAGGAACTGGGTATGCTGTTTGGTTATTAAAAAAAAAAGAAAGTTTAAAAAGCTGATTGTTGTAAAGGACAGTACTGTGCTAACTTAAGCTTTCTTCAGCGCTAGGGAATCATTAGAAAGGATGAGAGAGGCCAACACTGATGAGATGAGAGAGTTAACGGGGCAGAACCAGAACATCTTATAGGAGGCTGACACCTCTTTTGATTGAACATTCTGGCTCCTCACAGAGTACCTGCAGTACTGGACAGGTGCCTGGCTGGCGGTGAGGACTCTTTCTGGCTTTTGACTCTGATCTCTCCTTGGGGGAGAAGTTACTTGGAAGAGAAGTTACCTGGACCTTACACAAGAGCAAACTGGGGCAGAATCAGCCCAGTACACGTTGGATTCTTCTCGATCAGTGCAGGGAAATGAGTTATGAGTCACGTTTGTAAAGGATTTGCCTTCAATGTTATTACAGGGCACCATACTCCCACCAGGGTCAAAGGAACTCCCGTAAGCAAGTGATGAACTCAAAGATGAGCAGTGATGATGAGTCCCTGAAATAGTTCTTGGAAAACGTAATCTCCTCTACTCTAGGAAAACTAAAACGTCAAACTGGGAAAAACCTTAGCTTTCCTGTGTCGATCCTGTCCTAAATGTACTACCAAGAGGGGCGAAGTGTGATTTCTGACATGGCATAGAACTTCGGTAAATGTCACTTCTTCCACTGTTTAGATATGCAAAAATCCTAATAATAAAAAAGTAAAAATAAGGTACTTTTTAAAGCAGTGGTATTTTTCAAGGGGAGACTAGTCCTGTTCATGACTATTTTTATAGGTTGAATGAATCCTCCTTTAAGCTGATTCATGTAGAACTGAAAAGCTCTAAGGCAGACGAAAGATGGCTCAAACATAAGAAAAACCATGGGCTCTTGTTGATGGCATTTAGTCCCAAGAAGTGGCTTTCAGCTCTCTTTTGGGATAGCAGAGAAACCACAGAGCTTTATGTGAAACGGACAGTTCATTGAGCATGTGCAAACGTCACAAAAACACAGCCCCTTTAGCCTAACGGCAGGGCTCCTCTTGAGGGAGAGACAAAAAACAAAGACTTGGAGGCTTTCTGTTTTTGTGTGTGACACCAATCCTTGGCGAGATCACGTCACTACGTGGACGAGCCAGACCCAGTGACGAGGCCTCTGCATCGGGGCGCTTATGGAAAGCTTCAGGGGAAGAGACGACAACCTCACAAAGGTGATCGGAGGGAAAGGAGTGAGCGAGGGGGGAGAGCACAACCTCTGGCTGTTCTCACAAGACTTCTGGTCTCTGAGGCTAGAGACACAGACGCGCCTCTGGCTTGGCACAAGCTCCCACCCAAACCTGAGGGGATATGGTGTAGTTGAGTAGAGATAGTTCCCATTCAAATTGCCTTTACAATTTCTTTTAACTCAATTAAAGCCTACCTTTCTCCATTTTTTGCCAGGCAAAAAGAAGAGAGGGCTATCCAGCAAAACAAGGCAGTGATCACAGGTTATTTCTGCAGTTGGCACGGAGGGCTTTGGAATCTATTTTCAAAACATGCCCGAACTAAAGCCCCGGGTGCTTCTCGCCAAGCGTGCAGAGACAGCATGTGGCTCTGTGAAAAGCCACCTCACCCATGTGGCATTTCCGCTGCCTGGTGGGGTTAGCATCCCTGCCCTACTAGAGGCTGAGATCCAGGGAGCGCAGGCCTCCTGAGGACCACGCTTCGTCTCCCTCTGTGTCTTTTGAATAAGCAGCTCTGAAGAGGGACTTCCCACTGGATGCGCTCACTCTAGGTCCAGAGGCAGGTCTGAGACACAGGCGGCAGTCTCAGGCTGGTTCCTGGTCACCAGGTTAGGCCGTGCCAGATTGTGGCACAGACTCCCTCATCTCTTCCCAGGGGCCTCTGAGGGGGTGGGGGGAGGGGAAACACAAGGGGTGTCTGTTCTTTCTTCCCTGAGCAATGTGGCTGGTATCGCTCCTGCTCCCTCTCCCAGCGTTGGTGAGACATGGATGGAGCCTGGCAATTGTTACCTATAAAGTACTTTGCTTTTGGGGTGGACCGAAACGGGCACTCAACCCCACTGCGCCCCAAAATAACTCCTCACCATTTGTGGGGAGCCTGGGAAGTGGTATGTTATTAAGTTATGTGTGACTGATTACGGTGCTTCTGCAATGACCCTGAGCCCAGAAGGGATGGTGTGAGCTGTCCATCTGCACGGGTTGGCCCCAGGGTCTTCTGTTGATAAGGAAAATGTAAAGGGTGCTAGAAAAGCACTTGTTTAGTGTGGATCTATCTAGTTTTAATGGGTTTTGAAAGTGTTTCTATATTTCCCTTCACACTGAAGGGGTGAGGAGCAAGGACGAAGGTGATGGGTACAGCATCCGTTCAGAGCAGATGGAGAAGGAGCAAGGGAGGTCTGAAGTACCTGGACATGCTGCTTTCATGCTTTTTTTCAATAAGCAGTTTGTATCTACTAGTTGACTATTAAATCTAGGTAAATTTCAAGTGCTTTCTAGGACAAAAGTGATTAATTTGGAATCAGTTTGAACCATCCATGAACAAGGGAGGCAGTCCCTTTACCTTCAATCTTGGCAAATAAGAACACTCTGTGAGTGGTGGGGAGGGGGCAGGGAGAGTCCAGATAAAGGACTGAGAGAGTGGATGACATGCTTGAATTTAGGCGGGTTCCCTACCTCCTGGCCCCTGTCCTGCACAGGACACGACTCACTGTCTGCTTCCGAGAACGATCCGGATTCGTCACTGGAGTTGGTTCCGTAAGACTGCTCACATTTAATTTGGGGTCGGACTTGGTTGTACATTCCATCTCCCATCAGGCCTGGTTCCTGATGTTCTGTGGCAAGGAATCTGGCTCCCTGGGAACAGGGTGAGGAGGAGAACTCACAGAGAGGGAGGCTGCAGGGCGAGCCCCCGCTCCCGTCCTCCGCGTAGGAATAGGAGGAGCACGAACTGGAAGTCCTGGTCCTGGTCTCCAAGGGGGGCGAGCGAGGGCAGACCTTGATTGGCACCGGGCAGCTAGTGTTGGGCCGCATCCTTCCTGGCAAGTGGTCGGCCATCAGCCCACCGTGGGGGTAGGCCTGCGAGCTGGGGAGGGACTGGCCAGCCCCCACCCACAGACCCTTTGGCACCGGCTCAGAGAGGTCTTTGTCCAGACTGCTTACCCCAGAATACGAATGCACCGAAGTGCTCACTTGGTCACAAGCGCTCGAGGAGAAGATGACACTTCTCCGGTCCAGCTCTCCTTCCTGCTTACAGAGAGCCTCCACCCCAGGGCCCTTGAGGGGCGACCCCATCGGGAGGCTGGATGCATCCTTCTGGCCCCCGTGGGCCTGTCCATAATTCCCCGAGAAGGGGGCGTAGTCAGTTTTAAGGTCACCCTGAGTGATGCCCTTGTCGAAAGGGCACGCGGAACTCCTGGCAAAGTGCTGCTGAGATGTGCCGGGCAGGCCAGACAGCTCCGCACTTTTTGTTACGCTGAACAGAGACCTCAGGCAGGAGGGGGAGGCCAGGGTCCTGGACCTCTCCAGGCAGGCGGCCCCCGAGGGGGGCGCAGGGGCGGGCGCGGGGCTGGGCTGCTTCCGGTCCATTTCCACGTCCCCCGCTCGGTCCTTGGCGTCAGGCTCGTCCCCGGACAGGCAGAGCGTGATGCTCTCCTCCTCGTTCTCCTCACTGGGCGGCTCGCTTTTGATCTGCCCCATGGCGAGCCCGGGCTTGAGGCTGTGGCCGGAGCTGTCTTCACCGAATGTGCTTGCGAAACCTGAGGTACTGTGTGAGGATGCATTGTAGACATTCTTGGTACATGCGAGCTGGTATTTCTTGTATCGCGGGTACTGCGTCAACGCGTCCTTCTCGGAGCTCTCCTTGGTGTCCGTGGGCCCGTCGGCCTCGGGCGCCAGCAAAGCCTCTTCCTTCTGGGCTCCCGGGATGGCCGTGGGCTCGAAGCTGCCGGGGTGTGGGAGCGGCTGGTCCCTGGGGCAGGCCATCTTGGCCGTCTCCGACTCCATCGTCTCCTCCTCCTCTTCCTCTTCCTCCTCCCCCGCCGAGTTCTCATGGTCTTCGTGGGGGCGCGGGCAGGCCGTGTCCTTGCGGCACACGAACAGGCCATCCTCGCTGTTCAGCAGCTGGGTCTGCAGGAAGCTGAAGCAGGAGTCCTCCAGGTTGTGCATGCGCAGGAACTCGGCGCAGCGGATGACCTCGCGGATGTTTTCCCTGCTGAGCAACAGCTTGGCGGTGTAGGCGAACTGCAGCAGCGGCCCGAAGCCCCTGGCCGTGACCTGCAACACAAACAGGGAGAAGGGCCGTGAAGTCACCGGCAGCACCGCTCTTGTCCCGAATCCCTCAACCGAAGCAAGATAACCAGACGGGGCTAACGTCCCAGAACAAAGACTGCAAAGGAGCAGTTCATCCGTCCTGGACGCGATTCTGCGTCCGATAATTAGCGCCCGCCTCGCGCATGCGGCTGCTGGATCGCGTCGGCGGCGCACAGAATTGGAAATCACCAGGGTCAAGTGGCTGCACGGGACGACAACGGGTTCAGTGTTTGCACTAATGAAATATCCCGGCGAGGATGCACGGGAACAATGGGACGCCTATTAATTTCCCTCCCAGTCGGCCCTGCGGAGAGCCCTTCGGCACCAGGAGTGCGCGGACACTTGCTGCAGCTGCCTGGAGCCCAAGACGGCATTCCAGTTGGCTTGTTAACCGCGCAACTGGCAGTGTGGCCTTGTTCAAAACGGAAAGCCTGTAGGGTTTCAAAATAGTTTTGCCTCACTCACAAGTTCACAGGAGACATTAAAAGCACACTCTCATTTTGCTCATCATGGCTTCTAGTTGGGACTTTTCAGTCATCACGTCATACCCGATCCTACGATGATACTGGAGATGATGACAATCTAAAGCAGTGTTCTCAGCAAGAAATTAACCCCCAGCCCGTAAAGAATGGGGGTTGCAGGACTAAACAAACTGGCTGTCATTTGAAAGGTGGAAGCTGCTGAGTGGCACAGGACCTGGGCTAGTCCTTCCCTCATTATCAGCAGCAGCTTTGCCACACAGCTGTCTTCTCTCCTGGTAAACTGTCATGTGCTGCTCATCCATTATATTTTACACAGATTGAAAATGTGCTATTTATGCACACACACAGAAAATAACTTAGATAATTAGAAATACATTGCCTAGGGCCAATTGTTTTTCTCCCCGATGGAAGTGGATTAAACTTGCTGGTATCTGGGGCAGGCTTCCTTACCCTCTATGCAAAACCAGGCATCCTCGAGGTTCTTGCAAGCACTGCTGACCCCATTGGGAGGGGCGGCAGTCTACAACTTGTGATGTACAAATCAGGTAAAAGAAGCCATTGTACCAGTGATTTAAAAATATCTGCTAGAGGAATAGGCGTAGAGCAAGAGGAACTGGCAAGCTTTGTGACTGACTTCCACATGTATTAAATTCACCACAGCACACAGAGCCAAAACTCTTATGAGGACTTATATCTGCTGTTCACAATTCGACTCCGACATCAGCTCCTCTGGGAGCCCTCTCCAAACCTCCTAGACAGAAGGACTGACACACCCTCTCAGCCCCACAGCCAGAGTGAGGCAATGTGGATCCCCAGGGCAGCACTGGTTTTATATTACTGCATTCTTTCCCGTAAGGGAAATTTTTTAGATACATAACTGAGTGGGATTTTAATTGTTAAGAAGTTTGAAGGACTTTAAATAAAATTCCAGATTAAAAATTCTCTGTCATTGCCGAAACCGGTTTGGCTCAGTGGATAGAGCGTCGGCCTGCGGACTGAAGGGTCCCAGGTTCGATTCCAGTCAAGGGCATGTACCTTGGTTGCGGGCACATCCCCAGTTGGAGATGTGCAGGAGGCAGCTGATCGATGTTTCTCTCTCATCGATGTTTCTAACTCTCTATCTCTCTCCCTTCCTCTCTGTAAAAAATCAATAAAATATATTAAAAAAGAGGAAAAACTAAGATGGCGGCATAGGTAAACACCGGGAAATTGTCGCCTCACACAACAATTGAAAATTACCGCAAAGGACTGAGCAAACATCATCCAGAACAACAGGAAGGCTGGCTGAGTGTAAATTCTACAACTAGAAGGAAAGAAAAGCACGCTGAGAGCCAGAGGCGCTGCGGAGGTGAAGTGCAGAGGTACGGCGGCTTGCGCGCGCACGCGCGCGGAGGAAAGGGGGTGGCGCCTGAGGACGTGGCTGTCTTTTTGAATCACAAGCTCCCGACTGCTCTGAACTCCGGTTCCGGGAAGTCTCTGGGGACCCAGGACTCATACGGGGAGAGGCTGGTCTGTCCGGCAGCGGGCGAACTTGAGGGCGGCTTTCCCTCAGAGGTGCTTGCAGCCGTTACCGGGACACTGAGACGCGCGACTCCGGGAGGAGAATCGGCCATAGCTGCTTTCTCCGCCCTTTGACTCCCTGAGACCCCGCCCCACCCAGGCTGCGGCAGAGGCTTTTGCATGTGAATGTACCTAACTGCAGCCCAGCCAGGCAGACCTGGGACTTCCAAGAGAAGGCCCAAGGCCCCACAGCAGCTTGCATTGCTTCACAGCTGAGCCTCTTCGTGGCCCCTGCTGTGTGGCCTCAGGCAGAGGCTGAATTAGCACCTCCTTAGATCCAGGAGCCACTGTACCCAGTGGTCAGAGGGGGACCATCCAGACTGCAACTCCTCAGATCCATAAGGGACACACTCAGGGAGCAGACTCAGTGAGCACCAAAGCCCCACTGAAGCAAGTCTTGCCCCAGAAGGGTGTCTTCAGCACAGAAGTTCTCCCACTTTAGACACAGCTGATTCTCACAGCCAATTGGCCTGGAGGTCAATTCCTCCCAGTGATTCTACAACAACCAAGGCACCAAGAGTGCACCAAGAGTGTCCACCCCAGGTAACTGGGGAGGCTGAGCTACTGGGCCCTACAGGACACCTGGCGCACAGGGCCACTCTATCAACACAGGGAAGCTGCCAAAATGCGGAGACAAAGAAACAGGTCACAAATGGCAGAAATGGAGGAAAGCAAACGATTGGATACAGAGTTCAAGGCCACGTTTATAAGGTTTTCAAGAATTTTATGGAAACCGCCGATAAATTTAATGAATCCCTCAATAAGTATAGTGAGACCATGGAGGACATGAAAAAGGACCAACTAGAAATTAAGCATACACTGACTGAAATAAAGAATAATTTACAGAGATCCAGCAGCAGACAAGAGGATCCCAAGAATCAAGTCAAAGATTTGAAATACAAAGAAACAAAAAATACCCAACCGAAAAAGAAAAAAGAAAAGAGATTCCAAAAATATGAAGATAGTGTAAGGAACCTCTGGGACAACTTCAAGCGTACCAACATCAGAATTATAGGGGTACCAGAAGGAGAGAGAGGGCAAGATATTGAAAACCTTTTTGAAGAAATAATGACAGAAAACTTCCCCTACCTGGTGAAAGAAATGGACTTACAAGTCCAGGAAGCGCAGAGAACCCCAAACAAAAGGAATCCAAGGAGGACCACACCAAGACACATCATAATTAAAATACCAAGAGCAAAAGATAAAGAGAGAATCTTAAAAGCAGCAAGAGAAAGACAGTCAGTTACCTACAAGGGAGTACCCATACGACTGTCAGCTGATTTCTCAACAGAAACCATGCAGGCCAGAAGAGACTGGCAAGAAATATTCAAAGTAATGAATAGCAAGAACCTGCAACCAAGATTACTTTATCCAGCAAAGCTATCATTCAGAATAGAAGGTCAGATAAAGAGCTTCACGGATAAGAAAAAGCTAAAGGAGTTCATCACCACCAAACCAGCATTATATGAAATGCTGAAAGGTATTCTTTAAGAAGAGGAAGAAGAAAAAGGAACTCTTACCATTTGCCACAGCATGGATGGAACTGGAGAACGGATAAATACCACATGATCTCACTCATTTGTGGAATATAATGAACAACATAAGCTGATGAACAAGGACTGATCCAGAGACGGAGAGGCATTGATTGGACTGTCGGGACTTGGAGGGAAGGTAGGGGAGGGTGGGGGTAAGGGGGAAAGATCAACCAAAGGACTTATATGCAAGCATATAGGCCTAATCAATGGACATGGACAACGGGGGGGGTGAGGGCATGAGCGGGGGGTGGGGGGGGTGGGGGGTAGAGGGTAACGTGGGGACAAGGACACATATGTAATATCTTAATCAATAAAAAATATATTTAAAAAAATATATTAAAAAAAAAATTCTCTGTCATTAATGAGTCCTGAGATATTTGGTTAAAAAAGAAATACAACAAAAACCGTGACTTAGCCCCACATTAGAGCTCTACAAGGGCAATCATTGCCATCTCAGTTCCATTATACTTAATTGGGTCTGTTTCTACCATAAGACAGCAAGGTTCTTCAGATCATGGATTGTTTCATTTCTCACTGTAACTCTGCATCTAACTAGGGTCTCTCGAACACGATAAACGCCTGAGAAAACTTGTATATTACTGAGTATGTCATAAGTCTAAGTGTGCTTATAACATACAACTACAGAAGCTGACAACACTGCTTGGTAAGTGTTGTCTCAAATTATGTTTGGGGCAAGGCATTGAGTAAACCAACATACCAACCCTAACCAATGCATGCAGGCAAGAGTCCTTATTCGTCCAGTCTCCTAGAACTAGTATTAAAAAGCAGCTCATCTAACCTACAGTTTTGTGGTCTACTAAGCTGACATCATAATAGACTCAACAATTGTAACACTGTCCTATTGGCATTTCTCTTAGGAACCTTTAAAAGGGATGCAAGACAAAGAAGTGTGTATTTATAAGTAACCAAAGACGGCAACGAGAATGTCACACGGGCAGTTCTTCATTGGAACATAGCTCCACCACAAAGAGAGGAATGGCAGAATCAAGGCAGGGGTGACCCTCCGTAAGTAAGCGTCTCTGCTCTGTACCTCGGCGATCTGCCAGAGGCTGAGTGGATAATGCACATGTTTAGTTCTGGCAGATGTGCTCACTATACGGGAAATGGGGAAAACTCATCTCAATGCTATTTATGTTTTCTGTACAGACCTCCTCATACTCTCATTCTTACCACCATTTCTCTTCTATTTTGATGCTCTTACTCTCAGTAGGCCCCACCACCACCCACCACTGTGGTTGCTTTTAAAGATAATTCTTAAATAAGTCAGAGACACCCACAGGGATCACTGGATCAGTCCTAGGCGTCACCACTTGTCTCATGGCTGCAAGGAGCTGGAGAAAGCTTCCCCACTCAGGGAAGAGCTGAT